TACCACGAGAAACAGGGAAGCACAGACACCAGAGCCTTCTCTCTCTACCCTCAGCTGGGGAGGCTTGTGGGCTCTCAGACCACAAGCACAACTCGCTGCACCCACACAGACGGGTGTTTTCTGCTCATCTGTTCCCACCATCCCACGTGGCAACACTGACACCCTCTGGGAAGGGGATCTACCACGGGAATGCTCCGGGGGAGACATTACCTCACTGCCCAGCCCATGACATCACTCCCAGTGGAGCAGCACTGAGATCTCTGGCACACCAAGAGGGGCCAGGCGGCTCCTCATCCAGCTGCTCCAGAATTCCACACTGGGCTGGGGAGTGAGGAACACAAACCCCTCATCACAGCAAATAAACGGGGGTGATAAGAGGGGGGGGGAGAAGCAACTAAACAGGAATTATTTTGTATTAAAAGGCTAAAAAGAAGCAAATGGAGGAGTGAAGCCAGTGAGAGTGACTGTGGGGAGCGCAGGGATGTGGCTCTGTTCCCAAAACCTCAGCCAGACATGGGCAATGCTGGTCCTACACCTGCCACTGACCAGCTCAGTGTCTCAGTTTTCCCATCTGCAAAACAGGGATGATTCTCTTCCTCCTCTGTGAGGCATTTTTAAAAAGTCATCACCTGCAGATTTCACCCGCAGCAAAACCCACTGTGCCAGGCACACCCTCAAAATCCTGTCTTCAGCTTTAAACAGCAAAATTAAGGGATTTAAATTAAAGAGAACAGAAGGATACTGATGGAATCACTCCTCTTTTAAATTATCAAAAAAAAAACCCCACCAAAATAATCACAAATAATCCTGTAACAAAATTTATTATTGGTTGATTAATGCCCCCCTTTTATATTAAACAGTGAGTGCCAAAATCCACTGACTGCCCCACTGATTTGGGGACAGGGAACGAGCAAAGATCCCTCTTTTCCCAAAAAGCAAAAGGTTCGAGTCAAACATTTAAAGCTGTGCCACCAAACAAAAAGCAGGGAAGCCCGGGTTGCAAGGCCATTTAAACACGGAAAACGGGATTACAACCGGCCTTCGCAAAAACCACGTGGAAGCTCCAGCCCCATCTACCAGCGCCGTGCGAGATGGGCACGAAATGAGGTGGTTAAAGAAAATCTAAACCGGGAATGGGGCCTGGGGAGGGCCGGCCCGCGTACAGCGTGTGCGAGCGGGGCTCGCAGGAGCCCATTATGCAGATGGGGCCTGCGGAGAAGGTTCTGGGTGGATCCAGCCCGGCCGCCACGGCCCCGTCAGCTCCTGAATCACACGAGGAGCGAGTCGGTGCCCGCTCGGGAACACCCAGAACGCGGCCACATCAAAGGAGCCGCGGCTGGAGCCCCAGAACACCCCCCACCCCGGGTCGGGACCCTCTGAGCCCCTTTCCCGGCCCCTGGGAACGGGATGGCCCCGATCCCCCCCCCGGTGTGGCCGCGACCCCTTCCCTGTGAGCCCCAAGGCCCGTCCCGGGGGAGCGGCCGCGGCTCCCACCGCGGGGGGAGCACACGGAGCTCACCGGGAACACGGAGGGGAACACGGGGGGGACCCGCACCCCCCGCCCCGGGACTGCCGCGCTTTGGGGGGCACAGAGCGGCCCCCTCAGCCCTGGGGGCAGCGCGGGGAACCCACCGAGTCCCGAGGGGGGACGGGAGGAACCCCCAGAGGAGCCCGAAATACCCCCCCACACCACCCCAGCGCCCACCCCCGGGCGCGGAGCGCCCTCAGGGACCTCCCGGTGAGGGGAAAGGACCCCCCCCACACACAGACCCCGACCGGGAGAGGGGCGGGACGGGCCCCCCGCAGCATCTGCACAGCCTGGGCTGGGGAACACCATCCCTGCCCGCCATCCCCGCTCCCCCCGAGCGCCCTGCCCGCCGTCCCCCTCCACCTTTCGGCATCGCGGCGATGGCGGCGCGGCCCCCCCGGCCCGAGCGGCGCCCCGGAACCGGAACGGGGACCGCCCCCGCCCGCAGGCCCCGAGCGGGGCCGCCCCCGCCGCCTCCCCCGGGCCGGGCCGGGCTGGGCCGGGTCTGTCCCGATGGTTTCCCTGTCCCGGTGGGTTTCTCTCCCCCCTCCTGGCCCCGGGAAGGGCGGCGGGGATGGGGGGTGTTGGCTCGGGCAGCGCGCGGGGCGGCCCCAGGGCGGGGCCGCGGGAGGACCCCGGTGACGGAGGGGACGCGACGGGAGCGGCGGGTGAGGGAGAGGGATCGGGATTGGGATCGGGAACGGGACAGGGAGCGGGACAAGGACCGGGATCGGGACTGAGAGCGGGACCGGGAGCGGCGGGTGAGCGGGGCCGGGAGCGGCATCGGGGCTGGGACTGTGACCAGAACAGGGAGCGGGGTCGGGACAGGGATGGGATCGGGGCTGCGGCCTCGGGCGGCGAGCGGGACCGGGACCGGGACGAGGATGAGGACAGGAACTGGGATAGGGACCGTGACCAGAACAGAGAACGGGACCGGGGTCTGCGACCTCTCCTCTCCCCCAGCGCCCCCGGGTTCCGCTCTGGGCCGCCGGTGCCGGGCCCGGGGCCTCGCCCCGCTGTCACCGGGAGCTCCCGGAGCTGTCGGGCGGGGGAGCAGAAATACTGATTTACTGTGAGCAGACACAGGGATTTCACTCCTCTCACGAGCTCTGTGAAGTTCGATTTTATCCTTCAAGTGGAAAACAGGAAGAGGGCACAGAAGCCTCAGGAGAAACGCATCTGGCAGCTGCTTTCCTTTTGTTTTCCCCAGTGATCCCGAGGCAGTGCAGGCAGACCCTCGAGCCCTTGCCTTTCCCGCTCCGTTCCTGAGGCAATGCCCAAAGTGAAGAGGAGCAGGAAGCCCCCCCCGGACGGGTGGGAGCTCATTGAGCCGACACTGGACGAGCTGGATCAGAAGATGAGAGAAGGTGAGCGGGGCTGTGACCCCAGAACAAGCTCCAGGGAGCTGCTTCAGGAGGCTCAGCTTGCCCTGCACGTAACCGATGGACCTGTTCTGTCCAGTGGTGCTGAGCCTGGGCTGGCCCCTGTGTTTGGTGTGAGCTCAGGTTACAGAGCAGAGAGCTTTGGTTACAGGCTGGTTTAGGGCTGCAGCTCCCTTGGGTGTGGAAAGACTTGTAGTTCTTGTCCAGGCGTGAAGTCACCCACCATCCCAGTGTGGGTCACTGTCACCCCGCTGCCAGTGGTTTTATTCCCTAAAGGAATTGTTCCAGGTCAGGCCCCTTTAATTTAAGTCTTCTCCCATTAATCTCAGTCTTATCCCTGCCATGTATTAAAGTTATGAGTGCCCTTGGACCAGTTTATTGCCAAGTGACTGAGGAAATAATTTGCCAGCTGAACCCTGGTGTTTGTGTTCCCTCCCAGCGGAGACGGAGCCGCACGAGGGGAAGAGGAAAGTGGAATCCCTGTGGCCCATCTTCAGAATCCACCACCAGAAAACACGTTACATCTTTGACCTCTTCTACAAAAGGAAAGCCATCAGCAGAGGTGAGAGGGCAGGGCTTTGCCTTGGGCAGGGGAAGACTGGAGCGAGGTGTTCACCTGTGGATGCACCTGAGCTGGGAGCTGGTGGGAAAGGTCAGGTTTGGGGGGAGGGAGGATGAAGGGGAGGCTTTGCAGCTGGTTACTACAGCCAGTAACTCCTGATAGTGAGTGTTCCAACACCTCCCCAGAGCTCTACGAGTACTGCATCAAGGAGGGCTATGCTGACAAGAACCTGATTGCCAAGTGGAAGAAGCAGGGCTATGAGAACCTGTGCTGCCTGCGCTGCATCCAGACACGGGACACCAACTTCGGAACCAACTGCATCTGCAGGGTCCCCAAAAGCAAGCTGGAAGTGGTGAGTGTGCAGCTTGTTCCTCTGCTGGTCTGGACCTTTGTAGGACCTGGTCTGACTTCTGCCAGGTCAGGGACAGCAGAGGAGGTTGTGCTGTTCTTCCTGGTAATTTCCTCCACCTTTTCCTACCTTTGTTGGTAGATTTGGTTCTAAAGTTACTGTCAGCTTTGGCACGCATTTAAAGGTGTTAAAGTATGGGAAATAACAGAAATCTAGACAGTAGAAACACTTCCCACGCACAGCCCTTCCCTGCCTCAAGGCCTGAGCCTGCTCTGCCTGTGGCTTGGCTGAAACACCCTCCTCACCTTTGTTTTTCAGGGCAGAATCATTGAGTGCACTCACTGTGGATGCAGAGGCTGTTCTGGGTGAAGCCTTTGGTCATCAGACTGCTTTGGGAACTCGGAGGGACATCCTCCTCCTCCTCCTCCTCCTCAATGGACTATGAGTGCAATTGTACCACTTGCTGAGATGGGATATTTCTGTAAAGCAATGAAAGCAGCAGCAGCATCACCTGGATCCTGCATAAATGGGGGGGAGGGGGTGCTTTGGAGTGGGGTTAATAAATGTAGCCATTTATTTTAAAATAAAGTTTGCTTTCCTGAGAGTGGTGTCATGTTCTGGCAAAACATTCCTGTGCCCCTTTTCTCCTGTTGGATGCGTTCTGGGTGCTTGGTTTGGAGGTTGTTCTGAAGGTGGGTTGGTTTTCAAACCGCTCTCACCCCTCTTTCTCAACTAACTTGAGTTTAAAAGACTGTTTGGAAAGAAAATTATAATACAGTTCCCAAGCATCCAGTTGGATTTGAGCTCTTCTCTGACCTTGTGTAGGTGAAAGCTGAATTTCACTGGAATTCTCTGGAATTAACGCATAGATCCCTTCAGGAATGCCAGCAGTCTAGAGACTTACAGGTCACATGCAAAGTGACAGAACACAGAGACAAAACCAGCACTGAGCCAAAGGCCTGTTGAATCTGATTTTGCTTCTTCCTTGTTTAGCCCAGGGTTTGCTGAACTACAGCCTGTCTAATCCTCTTAAGGAAATCCACTGAAAACGTATTTGCTTCTCCTTAAAACAAAATATTTTATTACGTAGAAGCAGCTTTACTACCAGCAGTTTGAAGCAGCAAGTCATGCATGTTCCTTGTGCTGGACGAACTTGAAATGCCCTCTTCCTGCTGCTGCTCACTGTTCCTGCACAGCCTCGGCCTCACTGTGCTGCACCCCTCGTTTGGCTGTCCTGTATTTGGCCCAGGGGTGGGGGGTCTCCTCTCCAGCCATAACTTTTAGCCACCGGTGGTAGTAGCCACGGAAACCATCAATCTTCTCCAGGTACGGGTTCCTGGACTTGTACTGCAAGCAGAAAGCCAACAGAACAAGTTTCTGTTAGGCAAGAACTTCAGTACCAAGACAGCTTCAAGCTGCCACCGAAGAGAGAGCGATCACCCATCAGCCAGATCGGACAAACCCAAAGGAAACTCGGGCATCTACAATTCCCCTCCCTTGGCAGTGTCCCCTGTGGTGCCTTCACACCTTGAGCAGCGCTGGCTCCTTACCCTGTCGAATTTTGGGGGGTACTGCGCTGCGAACTCCAGCTGGCGGATGATCACCTCGTTGGGAGGCACCTGGCTGTTCCTCATGTCCCGCAGGATCTCCGTCAGGTAGCTGTAATCCAGCTTCCTCACAGCACCAGCAATGAGGGTGCTGTAGATGTACTTGTTGGGAGTTATTCCAGACCTCTGGAAACCACAAACGCTACAGTTAAAACTTGTTCATCTGCTGGCTAGTGTGGGACACCGAGAAGGAAAAGGCACATGGACAGGCCCCTTCTCACACAAGGAGCACAGCTCCCTGGAAGCGAGAACACAACCATTTGCCACAAAAACCTCAGCAGGTGTTTTAGCAGCATTAACCCTTCATTTTGCCTCTTCCTGCAGCTTGAACCCCAAGCAGCAGAGGATTTTCCTTTGATTACCTTCAAATCCGAGAGCAGCTGCAGTCCATCCTTCTCCTGGTGGCAGGCAATTGCCAAGTTACAGAATGTCTGGAGGTTGGGTGACAGTCCCCTCTTCACCAGAGCTGGCAGCACGCTCTGCAACACACAAGTCTTGGCATCAGTACCCAAAAAGCATCGCTACAGCTTTTCCAGACAGGGAGCTGGATGTGCTAGAATGGAATCCAAAAATACTCAGAAATTAACCCAAGTTTGTGGAAAAGTGTGAGATCCCAGTTTCTGTCATGGACAGAGAAAAGGGTCTCCGAGCAAAACACAGGAGGTGTGAGACAAGGAGGTGGTGACAGGGCTGGTTCTGAGGTTTTGCTCTCACCTTTGCTCCCTCCAGGTCTCCCTGTTTGCTTTTCTTCCTTATTAAAGTGTTAAAGAAGGCCACATCTACTTTCACTTTATGCTCATCCAGCAGTGCCAGCAAGGAGGACTCTGAGGGGCTCTGGGGTTCCACCAGCTCAGCCAGTAACGTGAATGTTTTAATGTTGGGCTCTGCATTGTCCTCTTTCATTTTGTTCAAGAATCCCTCCACGTCCCCCATCAAAGCCAGTCTGTGGGATGGCGTGGCCACTGTCCCCAGGGAAACCACGGCTGCGTCAGGCATCCTGGAATCCAGCAAGTTGGGCAGGTTGCAGAAAGGCAGCTCCTGGCTTGGGTGTGCCTGTTCCAGCTCCATCTCACTGTGGCCTCTCCTCATCAAGGCTCCAGCCCTGCCGTGGGTGACACTGGGGCTGTCAGGAGCAGCTGGTTCTTCTTCAGCCTGATTCACACCTTTATTTTGTTGCTGAATCGGTTCCTCGGCCTGCACCGAGCTCTCCTGAAATAATTGCTTCTCCATGGCTTCCACATCCAGCCGGACAGGAACACTCTCTGATCCCTTCTTCCTTCGATTTCTCATCCTTTCCTTCTGCTTCCCAGCTGGGAGCCGTAGCTGAGGTGAGTTCTCAGGGGGTCTGAGCAGGAGTTCAGAGGCCAGGGCGGGGTCGCCGATCCCACAGTCTCTCGCCGCGCGCAGCATCAGGTTGTAGGTGTGGCTGTCGCCCTTTATCCCAAGTTTAGTCATCTGTTTCCAAACCTGAAGAGGGAAGGATGCACACCAGATGTGACACTGTCAATGGGATCTGTGTGCAGAGGGGCGAGTTTACAGCATGACAAGGTGAGATGACAAGGGCAGTGACCTCGAGGTAGGGGAGCCCCGTGAGATGAGCCAGGGCTGCTCGCCAGCGTACGGCACGTCCTGGTGCAAGTCTAGTTTTCAGAACTTGTCCTAGAAGGAGCTGAACTTCTCCCATTTCACCAGCCCTGAGCCACCCACTGTGCTGAAGTGATGAGTTACAATACAGCAGCACTTTCCCCCCCAGCTAGAACACGAGGACACACCTGCAGGGCGTATCGGAACCCGTTTTCACTGTCCTTTATGCAGCTCATGAGAAGGAAGCTGAAGGTCTCAGCTGTCAGGACATGCCCCTTCTGCACAATCTCCTGAAAGAGCAGAGAAAAACATTAAACTTTCCCGTCATCCAGTCTGCTGCAACACAACGACTGCTGGGAACTTTAACCACAGCAGGTTTAACACGAGAAAAGCGACCTGCTCACCTTGAGTACGTCGAAGCACATCCTGAGGTCCGAGCAGAGGGCGCAGACCTTCAGCAGGGCGTGGTAGGTGATGAGGTTCAGCTCCTCGTTCTTGCTCTGCAGCTGCTGCCGCAGCTTCAGGGCGCTCTGCAGCCCTGAGTCCTTCCACGGCGACTCGGCACAGGCGTTGAACAGGGCCGTGTAAGTGGCCTCCGTGGGCACCAACCCTCGTTTTTTCATCTAGGGGAAGAGAGGGAGGAGTTGGACTTGCTTCTTTAATTTTTTAACTTGCTTTTAAGAGCTGCAGGCTAAGAAGGTGCCAACCTAGCTTACTCAACTCAAAGGCGTTTCGGAGACGAAGTGAAGCAATGGAATTTTTGGATCAGTTTTAGGCTGGGAAAACGTTTTGAGAGAGAACTTAAACTCACGTCATTGTACAGCCTGAATGCCTTTTTCACGTAGCCAACCCTGCCACAGCCACCAATGAGAACGGTGTAATTACTTTCCTCTGGCCAGACACGCTCCTCCTTCAGCATCTGCACCTCAAACAGCTCCAGAGCCTCTGCCAGCTACAGGGAAGAGGAAAATCCACGATAAGAAAACAAGAGAACGAATTACAATGGATATTAATACATGCAGCTGTGGGCAGATAGCAGTAGAAGTCCTACAGAGCGTGGGGCTCCTCACAAGAAGGCTGGAGAGGGACTTTTGACAAGGGCACGTGGTGAAAGGACAAGTGGGAATGGCTTTAAGCTGAGAAAGGTGAGATTGAGATTAGAAAGAAATTCTTCCTTGTGAGAGTGGGGAGGCCCCATCCCTGGAAGTGTCCAAGGCCAGGTTGGACAGGGCTTGGAGCAACCTGGGCTAGTGGAAAGTGTCCGAGCCCATGGCAGGGAGTGGAAGTTCTTTAGGGTCCCTCCTTTCCAACCCACACCATTCAGGGATTCTATAATGATTCTACAACAAATTCTTATTTTTCCTCTTTCTGTAGAGATACCAAGCGACAGATGGGGCAGAGCTGCATCTTTCATCAGGGATATTGAAAAAAAGAGAGAGAAGAACTGGGCCCAAACCTTGTCCTCTTTGATGAGGGCCTTGCACCGTAGGAAGTACCAGTACGGGGTGTTCTTAGGGCCGCGTCGAGGTTTCCTTTCTGGTTCTTCTTCTTCTTCTCCTTGAAGCTTTAAATCCCAAAAGCGTGATGAGGCTTTGTGGTAATACTTTCTAGACGAAAACTTATCAGACAGCGTCCCGAACTCCACGCCTTCATCCTCCTCCTCCTCCTCCTCAGGGGCTGCAGTGCAGCTGCCAGCAGCGACGTCCCTGGGGCCGCTCCCGGGCAGTTTGCAGGAGGGCTGCGAGGAGCTGCACAGCCGTGCCAGCAGGGCCTGGCCGGGGGGCCGGGGCAGGAGCGGGGCCGGCCCGGAGCCACCCCCGGGGGCCGCGCCCCGCGCCCGCAGCACGGCCGGGAAGGCACCGCGGCACCAGCGCGGGACGAGGAGCCGCAGCGAGCTCATGGCGAGCCCGCCGCCCCCAGGGAGGGAGCGGGGCCCGGAGGAGGGACCCGGGCGGGGTTCGGAGCCAGGACCGTGCGGAGCGGAGCACCCGGGGCGGGCCCCGGCCCGGTCCCTCACACGCCCCCTCGTCCCGCCCCGCTCCTCCCCCGACCCTCGGCGCCTGCGCGCGCGGAAGGGGCGTGCCCGCGGCCGGGACGGGCGGCCCCTGATTGGCGGGAGCGCGCGCGCTGCCCGCCGGGGACGCGGCGCCGCGGGCGCTGATTGGCGGGGGCGCGCGCGCTGTCCGCCGGGCGGGCCGTGCCCGCCGAGGGTCCCGCCATTCCGCGGGCGGGCGGCGCGGGGCGGCCTCGGGGCTGCCGCCGCCGCCTCCCCTCACCGCAGGCGCTGCCGGCGCGGAGCGGAGCGGGCCGGGCCGGGCCCGCCCGGGCCCGCCCGCCCGCCGCGGCCACCGCCGCGGCCACCGCCACCATTCCGCCCCTACCGTCCCGTTGCCGGCGGCCCCCAGCTGCCACCATGCAGGAGCTCATCGCCAGCGTGGACCACATCACGTTCGACCTGGAGCTGGCCGTGGAGCAGCAGCTGGGGGCGCAGCCGTTGCCCTTCCCTGGCATGGACAGTGCGTGTGGGGTCCCTCCCTGGGGGCTGGGGCCGCTGGGGCCTTGGGGCTGAGGAGGGTGGGCTGGGTTGAGGTGGGTGGGAGGTTTTCAGGGATCTCGGGGTCTGTACTCCGGTCTTATCCTTAGAACCACGCAGCTTCCGCTTTCCCCACGAGGTTTCTGTCCTAATCCTGATGTTTTTCTTTTCTACTTAAGGAACACTCTCGTTAGTTCCCAGCCATGCTGGAAAAATGAACGCTGAGGTGTTCATGTTGAATAAACGTCACTATCCTGCACAGTACTTTATATTTCCCCTTTCGTTTATCTTTACCTGATATATGAAGCATTTGGGATGGCAAGGAGTTTTCATCTTCAGTTTTATTATTGGCTGAGTCTCTAAACCTTTTCCTCCAGTCTGACACAGACTCAGGAGAGTTGTAAGTTTGCTGGATTTTTTTGGCTGGTCTACTAAAGTTCTGTTTTAACTCCCTTGAACATTCCCATTGGTCGGGATCAGCGAGGGATAACATGCTAATGGTTGTTTTGGGCTGTTCTGGTAAAATGCTATAAGCCAGGACTGTGAGTAAAGGGTTCAGGAGTTGGACTTTAATGATCCTTGTGGGTCCTTTCCAACTCAGGATATTCTGTGATTTATTGTCATGATTGACTTCATGACAGAGGACAACCCAATCAACAGAACCAAAATAGCTGAAAAACAAAACAAGCACCACCAAATCTCTGCAAATTCCCCTTGGTGCCGCCGAGAAAAATACAGCTATTTGTGAGGGCCAGGCTTGAAGGAGGAAAGTAAGTTCCCCAAACTTCCCCAAAAGCTACTTTTCTTTCGATGTTGAGGACCAGATTGCCTTTCCAGGGAGAAATAATTGAAAAGTTGCCATGAAGCTTTGTTAAAATTAACTATATTTCCTTGTTCTCCACAGAATCGGGCGCGGCTGTCTGTGAGTTCTTTTTAAAGGCGGCATGTGGAAAAGGCAAGTCGTGTGGAATCGTGGAAAATGCAATTATTCCCACGGGGTGGAGGGGAAAAGCAGATTTTCTAGCTCTGTTTATAGTATTCTTGTTTAGTAAAGCTGAAGGGATAACACAGAGGTTAAAACTGAAGGATGTTGGAATACCTGCAGCAGTTGGAAGTAGTGGTATGTTTTAAAGATGTTGGGAAGTGAATAAGGAAAGCTCCTGTTAAAGGAGGGTCACCACACGCAGACCTTGCTGTGGAGGTGCCCGGATTAATTGCTGTGGTTTGCAGTTGTCAGGATTAAGAGCTGGAGACTTTTTTAGAGGGTTACACAAGGCTTTTTTGGGACTCCCTCTTTTGCTGATGTCACTTCAGGCTGAAATCACAACTGATGTCTTCCGAAGCCTCTCTTGCAGAGGGGAACAAAGTGCTGCTGTTGCCCTGTTCCTCCTTGTGACGTGCATGTGAACTGCTCTCCCTTCTCCTTGCCCCATCCATCCTTCCACAGGGGGAATGTGCCCGTTCCGACACATCAGCGGGGAAAAGACAGTTGTTTGTAAACACTGGCTGCGAGGACTGTGCAAAAAGGGAGACCAGTGCGAGTTTCTGCACGAGTATGACATGACCAAGATGCCTGAGTGTTACTTCTACTCCAAATTTGGTAAGTAGCCCCTGCTTATTGTCCTTTGCTGGTGTGGGAGTGTGGTGAAGAGGATCCTGGCACATCCCTCTCATCCATCTTCAGAGCATTACAGTTCTTCTATGTGTGATGTTAGGTTATCACTTTTTTCAGATCTGCTTAGTCCTTCACCTTATTATCCACCCAAATTTGTGACATACTGTGGATGTCTTCACTCTCAAGAGCTTGTTCCCTTTGCAGGAAGAGGGAGGGAAGTTCAAGTTTTCACTGGGTTTTATGCCTTATGTTCTTTTTTTGGGGTATGAGATGAATAGGCTGAGCAGTTGGCCTTTGCATGGCTCTTATTTTGGGGAGTTGATGAGCAGCAGAGGGCACGGGGGTGCAAAAGTTTTATGCACTTGCTTTCCAGCTCTGGAGATCTGGACATAATGAGGCAAACCTATAGTCTTGTAGATTTCCTTGCATTGAGGTTAGTGCACAACCTGTAGTTTCTCCACGCTTCTGGTGCACTAAATGTTTGGGTTTTGTTATCATGACTGCTCTCTTTCAAATTTGGTTTCCCAAAATTGAAATTTCCCAAATTTGGTTTTTAAAAGCACACATAAATAAATTATCCAGTCTGGCAGAACTTTACTCACCAGGGACGAGTCCCTGGTGTTCTCCATGTAGGTTAAGACAAGCAGTAAGACTGTTGTGCCTGAACTTAAAAGTGTCAGCAACAGCCCCGTGGGAGCCACAAGATCCAGGTGATGTTTTGAGAGTCATTCTGAACTCAAACCTGCACCGTTGACTGAGAAGTGTGTTTGCCTTTGGCACAGGGGAATGCAGTAACAAAGAATGTCCATTCTTGCACATCGACCCGGAGTCTAAGATCAAAGACTGTCCCTGGTATGACAGAGGCTTCTGTAAACACGGTATGTGCCTCGCACAGCTGCTGTTTCTGTGGCTCTAAATCGGGGGTGGAGGGGCTGCTGTTCTCTCTTTGCATGATCTGCTGGTCTGTGGAATGATCTGTGGAATGGGGACTGCTGAGCTTTGTGTTGCAGGTCCCCTGTGCAGACACCGGCACACTCGGAGAGTCATTTGTGTGAATTACCTGGTAGGATTCTGCCCAGAGGGACCTGCCTGTAAATTCATGCAGTGAGTATGCTCCAGGCCTGGCCTGGAACCTTGTGCTTCCCTTGGAATCCGGTAAATGTCAAATGAGGGTGCTCCAGTGCTTCCCAATGGCTTTGGAGGTTTGGCCAAGGTTTAGTTTGGCCGAATTTTTACTCATCTGAGGATAGAGAGACTATTTACAAGAGCACGTAGGGACAGGACAAGGAGGATGGTTTTAAACCAAAAGAGAGTAGGCTTAGATTAGGTACCAGAAACAAATTCTTCCCTATGAGGGTGGGGAGGCCCTGTCACAGGCTGCTCAGAGAAGCTGTGGCTGCCCCATCCCTGGAAGTGTCCAAGGCCAGGTTGGACGGGGCTTGGAGCAACCTGGGCTAGTGGGAGGTGTCCCTGCCCATGGCAGGGGGATGGAACGAGATGAGCTTTAAGGTCTCTTCCAACCCAAACCATTCTGTGATGCGGGGCAGGGTCTCTCCAGGGAGTTCCCAGTAAGACTCTGGAGTGGTGATTAGATGCCATCAGCGCAGTGGCATCACAGGGTTTTATATTCCAGAAGGCTTCACAGGCAGAGGGATATGCTACACCCATGGAAAGAGAAGTGGGAAGGGGGAGGTTCTGTTTCCTGTGAGCCAAACCCAATTGGCTGAACGTTCTGTTCTTTGGATTTACTTGACTGAGCTAAAACGTTGGCATATGATTTGAGAACCGATTTTCTTGTTTCCATCTAAACCAGCCCTCGGTTTGAACTGCCAATGGGAACCACAGAGCAACCACCACTGCCTCAGCCGACACAAACACAGCAAAAGGTACACGCTACCCCTGCCTCCCCCACACACCTCCCCTCAAGCCTTTCCCACAGTGCTTTAAAGTACAATATATTGTCCAGTGGCCAGAATTGGGCACCCAGGCTCTTGGGTGTGGAAGGGAGAATTAAGGAATGAGCATCACAGTGATGAAAGCCCCCCCAGTTGTTCCAACCTGACACGGAGATCTGGTCACAGAACGCTCCCACGCGACACAGGAGCACATCACACGTGGCCGGGCAGCAGCCTGCCGGTTTGTGTAATCTGTGTGACACCCCTCAGTGATGGCAATGGTATTTTAGCAGCCTAAACCTACTCTCCAAATCTGCTTTCAGAGAAAAAAAAAAAACGGGATCTCTGGGCTTTGTAAGGCTCGGTGCTTGATTTCTTCTCTCTGGTGCTCCAGCTGGCAGAGCACCCACACACAGATTTGGAGGAAAATTGATCATTTGACATTACGGGGTGCTCTTTTTTCCCTTCTAAACAAAATAACAACCGCAGAGATCTTTATCCTTGATGCACTTAACGAGTCAGAACTCTTCTCCAAACCAACAGAGGACACCCCAAGTCATTGGAGTCATGCAGTCTCAAAACAACAACACTGGGAACAGAGGACCCCGACCCCTGGAGCAAGTCACCTGCTACAAGGTAATTCAGAGGGGAGGGATAAGGAGGGAAAACAAAAAGGTTTTTTTCTCCAGCACTAGAAAAGGGCAAAGGGTCTTCCTGTCCCATCAGCCTTGGCAGTTACATCACTATACATGTCAACTCTGTGCCTTAGTGAGGGTAAAAATCACCGTGATTGGATGGGGATGTTAAAGAGCTGGATCCATTTCACTGAAAACCTTTAACAGCTGCTTCTTATTTTACCTGCAAGCAAATTACAGATCTGGAGAATGGTGTTGCACCAGATATTGGCATTTCTCTGGATATTCTCTGAAGAGCTTTAAGGTGCAGAGTCATGAATCTGTTCATGGCTTTCTAAAGTTCAGAGGTGCTTTCCTCTGTTCAATTCAGGATGGCAGATCAGGAGAGTCCCCACGGGTCTCTGATGTAATTCATATCAGATGGAGTAGTCTTGGAAGCCTCAAATGTTGAAATTCTCCTTGTGTTTCACAGCCCTTTGCTGCTTGTGGTCGTGAGCATTGCTTTGTAGTGGGTTATGATAAAGTGGCATCACTTGGCTCCCTCCCAGTGGGAACAGTTGCTGACTACCTTAATAAAGGCAGCTAGAAGGACAAAGCTATTACTGTGTAGTAATTCCTGCCTCTCCTTCTCTTGCAGTGTGGAGAAAAAGGTCATTATGCCAACAGATGCACCAAAGGACATCTGGCCTTTCTCAGTGGGCAGTGAAGGAGCAGAAGGTGCAAGGTTGCTGTTGCCACTGAGGAAAGGTTCCTGCCTAGCACTATGTCTGGAGCTATTAATCAGGTTGTTTTTTAATGCCATTACTGAAAGAACTGGTCAGAGGCTGGCTGCTGCTAAGCAAACATTTTTGTAACTCTCCCCAACTTTTTTTTTAAGTTTTAACCTTTTTAAAACCGATTTTGGCCTCCGCCTGTTTTCATTGAGCCCTGATGAAAGGTAGATCTAAGAGCCAGTAGATAAACCAACCCCTTACTGGTGCAGCACCCCAGGTAAACACATCTTAGGCCAGCGTTTCTTTAAAAAGTATTTTCCTTCTGCCATTTCTCTCTGGAGAACCTGCAGCGTTTCAGCCTTCCCTGTGGAAGCAGGAAGACTAACTGGGAAAAATTCACACTTGCAATGCCTTCTCCTCAGGGGATTCTGCTGTCCTGGAGCTCCTAAACGGCCAAGTCATGTCTCCAGGCCCAGCCTGGTAAAGCTTGTCCTGGTGGCTGACCTAACACTTTAAGTACATCAGGCAGTAAAAACTCGTGTCCACTTGCTTTGTTTCTGTGCTTCTTGCTGTACTGAAGGTTAGAAATTAAATCTTGCGGGTGAGAACCAATCAAGGGGAGAAAAAAAATTGGCAGAATCTCTCAGCCAGACAGTAAGGAACAGGGCAATAATCCTTATGGTTACAAGGAAAGCTGCATCTGTGCCCAGTTCCCATTTGCAAAGAGCAAGGAGGGAAATGAGTGTGGCTTGAAGAGTAGGAATAGAAGAGCCTTCTCAGCCCTCACCATCCAGCTCACACTGGGCAGGGATTCCCACAGCCTAGAGAAGAGCTGGAAGTGGAGCTGTATCTTCCTATGGAACACTGCTTTGGAAAGTGGTAGAGATTTCTTTTGAGAGCAATTTTTTTTTTTTTCTTTTTTGCAAACCCAAACCCCCTTTGTTTTGAGAAGACTTATTTCTATAGGGCCAATGACAAAATATAAATTAAAAAAAAAAAAAAGAAAAAAAAAAACCCACGTTTCCTCCACAATGTGAGCCTTACTGATTCTACCCATCTCTCGTTTGCTGCCTGCCTTTATCCTTTGTTTTTACTGAACTGTACTGATGGCAAAAGCTGGCTGTGAATTTATTTTTCTTTAAGAACACGGTGATCTGGCTGGATTAAGAGAAGTGAAGAGCCTGTGCTGGTGTGAATAGCTGCGGTTATTTCACTGTGGAGTCAGTCACTGTGCAAGTTTCAAGTCCTAAGGTCACACACCATCAGACACTTCTGGTTAACACTTTGTGCCCCCAGAGACTGAACAAGGGCCATGCTGAGATGTTTGAGCTTATACCCACTCAGAAGGACCTCCCAGCTTTAGCAATGAAAGCAGGTAGAGTTTTGATAGGAATTTTGGGTTATCTGAGGGCAAGGAGCATTTCAATCCCAGTGACAGAGTGAGAGTTGCAGACCTGTGTCATCTCAGACAGTGCTCTGCAGCGATGGAAAACTGCCCCAATACCTGCAGATCCCGGGGCAGCCTGACCGAGAACCAGAAACACCAACCTGCCATCTACAGCTCAGACATTCTTTCAAATCAAAACACATCCTCTCAGCCAGGAAGGGCCAGGAGGAAGCTTTTAGTTTTATCACCCAGGAATCGAGGGCAACAGTTCCCCCAGTTCATGATGCAGTCCAAGGAGCAGATGCCTTCCCAGCCACCTCTGAACTTACCCCCTGGGGTGAAACTGAGAATGTGCAGTACAATTAACAACCTAATTAAGGAGAGTGTCAGCTCAGGAAACGTAAAGTGTAAGCACTTTATTATTGGTCACAACAGCATGGATTTAACATGAATAGTTGTGATGTTTTTTCTGTCAGGGTAACTGTGCCAGCAGCCGGGGCTGTTCAGGAGCTGCACCTTCACCTCCTGACACTGATGGTGCCTCAGTGGTATTTCCTGCGCCGGTCGTGCTCTGCAGCAAAGCACAGCAAGTTAATTTTGCTCAAGTCACAAGGAAAAAAAAACAAAAAACCACCACCCCTGAAATTACAGGCAAGAAACCACCCAAAAAAAAACCCCTGAGCATGTATTTTCTAAGTACTGTCAGGTCAGACAGGCACCAAGACCTAAACTTTCTTCATAGACAACAATGTACTGGCCAGCTGATAACGTACCAAGTAAACAATCAAGGTTTCTGTGGCTGAGTTTGTTTACCCGCAGTCTTTAATTTTAAAAGCAGCAGCAGATTGATTGTTTTTATTGCTCCAAGCAACCTTCCAAGCTGCCCTGTGCACACACACACACACACACACACAGAGCCTTGTTTTTACTTACTGATGTGACTGTAGCTCCAGATGTAGCTGAGAACAACATACCCAGCCAGCACCATGGAGACACCCCCGAGGCCCCCCTTCTTCACATCGATGTATTTGTTGTAGTATCTGTCGTAACCTGGGGAGGAGAAGTTTTCAGAACAGCCAGATGAGCTGTGGGCTTTTCCTGAGTCAGAATGAAGCAGCCTGGGTTCACAGAACTTAAGGAAATTGTTTCTAGTGAAACACATCTGAAAGTCTCACAACCAAGTCTGGGAAGAGGCAGCCCATGTGTTAGTTGAGCAAGGTGATCTCAAGTTAATAGCCCTAAGCCTTAAAACAAACCAGAAAAAAAAAAGGGGGGGAAAGCCATTTATAATTTTTTCCCTAAACATTATTGTGACTTTCATGAGCTCAAGCTAGTTTGGAGTTAGCTGCTAATTCTTTCATACTGGTGTGTATGTATGTTATGCAGACACTTGCATTTGGTATTTCGTGTTTAAATCTACTTTCGTGAGTTCAAGCTGCTTTGGAGTTCTCTAATTCTTCCACACCCGTGCACATACATTATATAAATACATGTGTATTATCGAATGCATACACTTGCATTTGACATTTGGCGTTTGGATCTGCCTGAATGAGATCCCTACCTACAGCAAAGGACACTGCTCAAAACTCTTCCCAAGTGATCTATAAGTGCCCCGTGTCCTTTCTTATCATCTGCAGAGATCAACTGCTTTTTTAAAATTATTTTTTATTCACCTTTGATGTTGGGAAACCCGCAGATTTTCAGCCAATGGGTTCAGGACTAAGAGCACCCCATTTCCCCTTTTTACGAGAAGTAATGATGAAAACAAACCTCTGGTGGATAAAGTTCACGTGAGAAACAAATTTACAGATGGGAGAACGGGGTGCTGCAGGAGAAACTGCTGTGGGAAGGCAAAGCCCTCCGTGGAGCAGCCCCTGCCGTGCACAACCACCTCCCGCCCGAGCCAACATCCACTCCGGCAGCCACAGATGCCCGTGTGCTGCTCTCCCTGGCTGCGTCAGGAGAATGGATTCAGGGATTCAAGGATTCTCACCCCCCCGCGCCCCCCTCACCTCTCCGAAAGGCCCCCGCGATGCCGCCGGGGGTGAAGTCCCTCATGGCCAGCCAGGAGGGCAGCTGGCCCAGCTTCACGTCCATCAGCTTCGTGTCCTTGAGCAAAACTGCGGGCGGGAAGAGGGGGAGAGCGCGGTGAGAAGGGAGGGAGGGCTGAGGGGTGAGGAGAGCGCGGTGAGAGGAGAAGGAGGGCTGAGGGGAGAGGGGCGAGGGGGCCGCGGTCACCTTGAAGCCCCCACACTCACCCGGCGGCTGCGCCATCTTGGAGGGGCCGGAGCGGAGCGCGGGGCGTGACGGGAGGGAGGGCGGGGAGGGACCCGGATGGGGCGGGGAGGGGACGGCGCCATCTTGGGAAGGTCACGGGCCCCTCAGCGGGGACCGCGGGGGTTCGTCCTGTCCATGGGGCGGGACATGGAGTGACGGGGACAGGCTGAGAGAGGGGGAGTTCGGGTTAGATATCGGGAGGAGATTCTTCCCTGTGAGGGCGGTGAGGCCCTGGCACAGGTTGCCCAGAGAAGCTGTGGCTGCCCCATCCCTGGAAGTGTCCAAGGCCAGGCTGGATGGAGCTTGGAAGCAACCTGGGCTAGTGGAAGGTGCCCCTGCCCATGGCAGAGGAATTGAACGAGAGGATCTTTAAGGTCCATTCCAACCCCTTAAAACTCTGAGGGTCAGTTCCCAATGGGGCTGCAGGCTGAGGGTTGGGGAGGGGGGCACTGCCAGCCTGGCCCCCTGTCCTGGGATGTGAGGATTTCCCTCCAGTCCTGCCCCAGCAGGTCCCCTCAGGGGGTGGCAAACAACGCCCCAGGGTGTTTGTTCTCCAGTGCCCCAGGGCAGAGCATTGCCTTGGACAGTCCCAATGCACTTTGTGGGGTGTCGGTGCCCTCCTCGACGGTGCTTCATATTGTGAGAATATAGAGGAAAAATTCACAAATCCTCATCAGCAGCATCACAAGACTCAATCAGCGGTCCTGCCGATGTCCCACAAAAGAACCTTTGCCAGTGTGTTGTGAAGTTGCGGCTCTAACATTGCAAATGTGAGTTCACAGACAGTGCATAGACAGTATGTACTGCAACACACATTGAGATTTGCTGTCATTTATTGTACTTTTATTGTACTTCCCTGTGGGGAAATACCGTGTTCTACAACAGCTCCTCGGGAAGGGTGTCAAAGGCAAAAAGAGAGGCTGGGTCACGGTATGTGGTGTAAGTAAACCTGCACAACCAGAGTGGTGGAAGAGTTAATGACAAGATTTACCTTCCTTGATCCAACAGGAATCAAAATGCCTGAGTTGGAAGGGCCCCACAAAGGATCATCCAGTCCAACTGCTGACCCTGCACGGGACATCCCCAACAATCCCACCCTGTCCTGTCCAAACCCTCCTGGAGCTCTGGCAGCCTTGGGCCGTGCCTACTGCCCTGGGGAGCCTGTTCAGTGCAAACCACCCTCTGGGGGAAGAACCTTTCCGAGATCCAACCCAAACCTCCCCTGACACAGCTCCAGCTGTTCCCTCTGGTCCTGTCCCTGGTCACAGGGAGCAGAGATCGGAGCTGCCCCTCATGAGGAAGCTGCAGACCCTGATTTGTGTCCCCTCACAGCTCCTCCAGGCTGAACAGACCAAATGACCTCAACCACTCCCCGTATGGCCCCTCTAGACCCTTCCCCATCTTCATATCCCTCCTCCTTTATATCTTTATATCTTATATTGAGGTGTGCCCAGTCCACACCCGGCACTGCAGGTGAGGCCATGCCAGCACGGAGCAGAACAGCAAAGAGCCACCCAGATTTATTTCACGTTGCCCAGAGCCTTTCTGGGGGGGTTTAGAGCGCACAGAGACCCCAGAAGGTCCGCCCTGAGCAGGCACAGACCTGCAGCCCCAGGACCCCAGAGGGACTCCAGCAGGTGTCACTGGCGGGCAGCGGATGCAGCTGCTGCGGTCACGGTCCCCATTTAGTGACCTCTAGAGGCTCCAAATCCTCCCTTGCAGGTTCGGAACAGTGTCAGGGTTTGTTGCTGCTGGTTGTGCCGAAGCTGAGGAGCGAGGCGATGCAGCAGTAACCAGGGAGCAGCCGTCCCCCGCAGCTCCTGGCAGGTCAGCCAGCCCCCCAGGTTTCCTGGGTATGAAATCTCCATCCCACAGAGGACTGTTAGAGCGGATCAGAGATGAAAACTAAATTAAAGGCGCTGAGGGGAGCCCACAGGGCTCCTACATAAACTCTAATCTCTGCAGCTTTTACTGCTCTTAGGTCACGGAGACTTATTCCACACACCTCCCTCCTGCCACTGCAGGATTCTTGGATTAGAATCTGCAGGGTTGTGTTGCCTGGTATTAAATCAGTCGAGGTGTGGGACCTGTGTTGTCTCAAGAGATATGGCAATGTGTCACACATCTCACTCAGGGGCTGGTCTCCATGTCCAGCTTCACCTGCTCTTTTACCAAAATTAATTTATTTACATTGAACAGTGCTCTCCCATAACATGAAAATAAAAGCAGAAGCAATAGTTTACTGCTTGATTTTTTTTTTTTTTTAGTTTAATTAATAACAGAAAGTAAGATTAGGAAAGCATAGTGTGCCTGATCACCTGAAGAAAGGCTTCCAAATTTAGACTCTGTTAAATGGGTTAAAAATCCATTTATTCAATTATCTTTTATTTTATTAGTGGACTTTACCGGTAACTATCATTTTATGGCTGAAGTGTCCCCTGATGAACTACTCTGTGGCCTCTTTACAGTCCTTGCAGAAAATCGTGCTCCAAACTATCTTCCCTCATTCTTGCAAGGCAA